ATAGATTTTGGATGCTCATTTGTCGTTGGCACTTTTATGGATGGGGATGACACGTTTCGACTTCCGCCATTCATCGAGGTGTCGCTGATTTAGAAATATACATATACATTCGTCGCACACACACACACACACACATATATACTTTGAACTTGAAAAGAAATAAAATCGAAAAAATAATTATGATGCTCATAAATTTCAATTAAATGCTTTAATTATTTAATTAAATATGCTTAAATATAGCGATTTGTTCAATATGTTCTGATTAATAATATAACATCGCAGAACTATTTTTGGAACACGAGGCTATTTTCGCGCGATTACGAGTATTTTATCCGGATGTGCGACGGCGATCTATATAACCTGTAGGAAAATTCATTTTCTACAGCACTGAAAGATCTTGGGGCACCGATATGATGGAGTGTTACGGAGATTGGCGGACCACCGGAGTAATGTCCGCACTAATAGCAGTGATTACCCCTGCCTTGTTGAGAATGAACCCGCCCGCTCCTTCCAGCCTGCCTGCTCTTCGGGTTCTGCCTCGTTCTACCTCGCGCTGTGCCCTGCCCATGAATTGATGAATGTTTACCAAACTAACTGCATCCTTTTCGCGCAAACTGCCCCCTGGTCATTGGCTACTATAACGTCGAATCTCATCGAAAGCGTGGATCGATTAAATTATGCGGAATATGCAAATTTGTGTCGATACGCGTCTGCGTACCTCGAGCGATCGGCAGAAAATGCGCAACGAGATTGTTGGAAGAGTAATTATTGCCTCTCGATATTCTCTCCGTGCTGTTTTTATTAATAATAACGCTGGTGATGTATACGCGAGCACAAGACATTAGATTCGATCGAGAGTTATACGCTTATTTATCAATATTGACAAGAGTTATTATTTCGAAATTCGCGATACATAATTCAAAGAATGACTATGAAAGTATCACGTTTGAGAGAGAAAAAGCGAGTGTCTCTCTTTATCGAAGAAGCTATTGACAGCACGGCAATCTGCCTCAAGTATTTCTGACAGGCTTTATTATTTATTGACACGTGTTTATAATCGCAAGATACAAAGATAACGCGGTGAAATTAATGGAACGAGATACGGTCCAATGGCTGTGTTTAAAACGAGGTGGACAGAAACTTCGCACTGTCGGTACGACATATCGCGGCGGCAGGACTGCAAAATAATTACAGTTGCATTATTATAAAGTCACTTGCACTATATTAAACCGATATCATACATATGCATCGTCTAAGAAGGCCGCATAACGTTAAAACGGTGCTCGATCATAGACCGTCCTCCTGTCATTCTCGTTTAGTCTTTTATACATACATATGTGTTCCCGATAGAAAATCATTTTACATCAATATCTCATAGAGAAAGAGAGAAAGAGATCATATCGGTTGCATAATCATACATTACACATTTATGCAATGTGTATTTACGTATGAATAATAAAATAATATAAATGATCTCGAATGTAAAATGAGTCACAGGAATACCTCTAGCTATGTGAACTTGGGAATCTCTGGCACTGCATGATCTACGAGGAAGTTTCTATTTGCGATCGCTGATAAACGGCCCGATGTCTCGGATTTTTCACAGCGCTCACATATCCCTCGTTAATGGTATCTTCTTTGCGAATGAGCGTGCACTAACGTATAGCACACAGACCACCTGTCCGGTTTGTATCCCTCGCTCCTTTCCGCTCGTTTGCTCTTTATCTTTTTCTTACTCCTCTCTCCCTTTCTCTCTCGCATCGGGCGTCCCATAGGGATACTCGCAGCATGTGTCTGCGATAACTATACCACGTAAGAAAGGGGGGCTTTAGGCGCCACAGAGCAGGTTTCCATAAAAATGCGAGCTAACCGATCCGCTGCGACACGGCAGAGTTTAATGTCCCGTGTGACCTACCCTTTCCGAAGCGACGGACAGTCCGTTAGATTCACTTAAAGATGAATCTGCTTTTCTCTCTTCGAATATAAGACTAAATATATCCATGGAATATGCGGAAGAGATACAAAAATTAACGATGTATTCTTTGCAAAATGTTTTAATATGATTTTGTACTTTTTCAAGGCAAAATGTAATTTTTATTTTTCGATACCTTTTGTTTTTTTTTTATTGTATCTCATATATTTAAGTCTCTACCTTTACGAACTCGTACGGTGATATGCTAATAAGAGAAACGCAGAAAATCAATTATTATTTTACGATCTCGTACCACATTGCTGTCCGCACGAACAACTCGAGTGGCGACTCAATTTCTAACATATGTAGTCGCGACGATGGCGTATCGTTATTACATATCATTACGAGCAATTACATGACATAAATCTTTTCAAAATATACATATGAGATGCTCGACATAAATAACCATTTATTCACTACGGGATATAGCTGTAAGATTTTGCATCTGGTTTGCAAAAAAAAAAGCACAATTTTTTCACCAAATTTGAGACGAAATCTATGTACTATATTCGTGAACTATCATATCGTTAATTATTTGTTTTAGATATGAATCCTCATGGACTATCAATAATTTATTCTCGACGTAATCGCACAGTGTGTGCACCCTCTATCTTTAATGTACCATGCTACAGAACAGACAAAGAAAAGGAGAAGGAGAGGAAAACGGCAGAGCGAAAGAGAGGAGGGAAGGGGGGAGGGGGAAGAAAGGAGAGACCCGTGTAAACGATAAATCACGATAAATACGTTTGCCTGGACCATTATAAAAGGCGGAGGAAGAAGAACGGGGAGGAATCGACGCGATCGGCGAGGAGAGGGTCAGCAGAGGAGATATGCACAAAGGGGTGCAGCAGCGCGCGGCCCGATATGCAGTCTCTCCTGGGGCCACTCCTGGATGCATCCTCTTCTGCGGCCGCGCATTACGATCGCTTAAGTCTCGGCTCGACTATCGAGTGATCCATCGCCTACGAATTCGACGAAGCCTCCCGCCTACCCTCGGGACATCCTCGACTAATGAGCGTGTCTCGATCGTGAACGACCGGTCTCTCCTTCTCTCTCTCTCTTTCTCTCCGTTATCCTCATCTTCACCTCCTCCTTTTCTCTCTGTTTCTCTTCCTCCTGTCTTCCTGTCTTTCTCTCTCTTTCTCTCTCGTGCTCTTTCCCTCCTCACTTCCAGGTGCGCTCAACGTTCTTTCTTAAAAAGGATTCCAATTAAGAGAACCCGAATGAGTTCGTACGTCCTATTCACGAGCAAGTCCGTCGAGATGTAACGGGGACGACAGGTGGACACGGTGAAATCCTTAGGCATGATCCCCGAGAAACACGATGATAGGATTGTTGATGAGCGATTATTGAAATTCTCAGAGGACACTGCGTATAAATAATTAGAGATGTCGATGTCGGCAGGCGTTAAAAAAAGAATTTGATCTTGTAGCATCAGTAATATTTGTGATAATGTTTATTATGCAAACGCACAATAGATAATTTTGTTTCTTTGATAATTTGGAGAATGTTAATTATCGTTTCTAAAATATGATGGGATCTATTACGTATTTACATCATTGATATGCGCCATCGAGACGCAGATTCCACGACGCGACTTTACTGTGTGATGTTTATCTCGGCTAGGTGGGAAAGTGTGGTAGTTCCAGTACATTCCTGAGAAGCTGTTTGTTCACCTATGCCACCGATGCGTGGTTAGTGCGTGGCGAGGCGATGGAAGATAGGGAGGAGAAGAGACGGAAGAG